TACAATTCATATGCAATATACAAAGAAAATGAACTGAGAATTAAAATTATTAATGAAGCGTGAGACATAATTGTAAAATGTATGCATGATCTTAATTGTAAAATTCATGCATGATCTTGCTCACTAAAGCATTCCTAGTTCAAACAATGCTCGAGATAGTAGACGAAACTGTAATCAGTGAGAGACAGGTTCGACGAAAACGATGGATGCATGAGACAATGTCTGTATCGGAAGTCTTCTAAATTCTGCAGCTGTGCTGTGTTCATTGTTGTCACAAGGGAAGACGAGTCCTCTTCTGTCGATTAACAAAGGCATAGCGGCTGAGCCTTCTGGTGCATCCAATCTATTGCAAAATGTCTTCATCTGTCGTGCTGTTTCATCGGATTCATCGGGTTATGGGAGCCGTTATTGCAAAATGTCTTCATCTGTCGTGCTGTTTCATCGGATTCATCGGGTTATGGGAGCCATAACGAATTAAACCTGGTCAAGAGAAGTAGTGAGGAGATTTGTTGAGGCTCAACTAGTGCGCCTATTTACTCCAAATGTTACGTAGTAGCCGGTTCCCTTTGTAAAATGCGAGGCGCTCAAGGTAATAGCCTCTCCTGTTGCTCAAATAAAATAAACCTGGAAGCTTATGCGTCAATCCGTCAAATCACGATTAACGTACTAACAGATGGTCGAGCTTCTTGTCTTGAACTTTCTTTCTTTTTATCCCAGAGCAATCGAGATGCTCATACCTGTTCCTCCTGCTATTATAAGGCAGTAGCATGAACGTATGAGTTCCTCCACCAAAACCTCAAATCTACAGTCATAGACAGCAGAATGGCTTTCACGACCATTCATATTCAAGGTCGATGTCACGGGGTTTTCTTCCACTGTTTTCCTGTCTAACATCAGGATTATTTTGGCGATTCGAACAGTGATGCAGCAGCACTATTATGGTTGCAAAAAGCGTTTTCACTTAAAGAGAAAAGGAAACCCAGAGCATTATAATTTGCATCAATTTCCAAAAAGTTGAAAACAATATATCAAAGCCCCTCCTATTGCGATCGTTGAAATATCATTCATTCATGTTCTGGTAAGTGCTGAATAATCTAGT